ACACACACACACACACACACACACACACACACACACACACACACACACACACACACAACATGCACATATATATATATATATATATATGGATCTGGCAGAGAGAAGGTCAGGGCTGTTTGTAGCCTGAAGCTTCTCCACTATTCATTCAACATAAGGAGGTGAATCTCATTCATCCTCTTTCATATTAGTAAAAAGGAAGGTAACACATATTAAAAACACCATTAGGCGCTCTTTAAGGTACCTATGGACGTTTTAAACCACTAGTGCTGTGTAGCAGTGTTTGGATAAAGTATGATGTCCATTTTGTTTATCTTGTGCACTCTATTGAGGATGAAGCAGACATGATACATGTTCCTGCTGATGCTTAATACTACTCCACTGAATATCGTAAGACAAATACATTTGCGAGCAACAGACAGAGAGGGAAAACAACAACAATAGGAAGCAAAAATTGTCCACAATGTCATTATTTCATCCATTTACTCCTTTTGATATTTGTGTGAAATTGTCCTGGTTAGCATCGGAATACTTTAGTTATGAACAAAAACGTTGCTTTTTTAGGTCACGAAAATCCTTCTTCAAACTGGACTTTTGTGTCTACTTCAATTCCAGGCTTACCTAAAATATTGATAAGAATGGAATTAATGGATGGAGTAAAGCTGTACCTGGCTCATCATGTTTTCCTTGTACTGCTTCTTCTGAGTGACTTTGATTGGCGGTTGCTTGGTAACAGCTGAAACCAGGAAGTTCATCAGGATGTCTTCGCAGTTCGCCATGCGGTCCACCATGGCCAGCAGGCTGGTGGGGACGTAGTGTGTGAACAGGTAGTGGTAGTATCTGACACACACACACACACACACACACACACACACACACACACACACACACACACACACACACACACACACACACACACACACACACACACACACACACGTAAAGGGAATAAGACAGATGAGGTTAACTGTCTATTTAGTTCTTTTACAAAAGCTTCCGTTCTGTTCTGTTTTGTATGGCTGTTGTGCTGCACTCTCAGCAGTGTTTGAGCACTAGATCACTGCCAACGGTTTCCTCCCTGCCAAGGTCTGCTGTCCCACACACACACACACACACACACACACACACACACACACACACACACACACACACACACACACAGTCATTTTCCACTTTTCCTCTTCACTCTCTGACTAGTTTTTTTTCCGATTTGCATTATGTTGCAAAAATAGTCAAATTTACAAAAACCTGGGCTAGTAGTCACTTTTAGTTACACTGACATTATTAGCAAACTACAGAGAATGAACTTAGCACACTGAAAGACTGGCATATTGATTCAGTTTCTATTCAGCCATTTACATTTCCTGCCATATGTTTTGAGGAATGCCTCTGCACCATATTGGTCATGACCTCTAGATTGTTTCTCTATGGCTTTGAATCCCTACTGTGTTCTTGGCGCAATGACAACATGTATACTTTCCAACAAGTATTATTGAGATCAGACCTAAAGCTCAGCTGCTAAATGTTATGGATTTTTATTTGCGCTTTAATAATATAAGCACAATGTATATTGCAAGTCTGACCTTGGGACGAGGCAGGTTAATGCTGTGATATATTCTGCAATGTATTCTTTGAATTGTGAATCACATGTGAGCTTATTTCTGCATCGAAAAAGCAAATAATAAAAATATATAAATGTAGTTAATTAGATTCACCCTCTGCAATTAAGTGTTTTGGTTAAATTAGAGTCAAGTCTTGAATAATGACCTCATGTTTTTTTAATGCATAATAAAAAGCAGCTGTCTCTCAGCAGGAGAACATGTGTATTGTGTACCTGTGGTAGAAAGCGGCCCCCGTGAGCACCATGGAGTAATCATTGGTCCATTTGGAGGTGTAGCCCCAGCGGGATCTGGAACCATCCCAGTAGTGGCTTCTCGCTGGATAACCAACGATACGCTCCGGAAAGCTTTGCCATACTCTAAATGCGAAATCCACCTGTGGGAGCAGAAATACAGAAAAAATGTCCAATGGAAAATAAAGAAGGTTATATTGTACGAGAAATTAACATATGAGGCAGAACAGATGGAGAAAAAGAGGGAGGAGAAGATAGGGTACGAACAAAAGGAAAGGAAAAGAGAGAAGGAATGTTAGGACAGCTTATTGAAAATACACAAAACATACTTCAGCCTTGCAGAAGAGATAAACCGATATCATTCAGATTTCAGAAAAGCTGTCTTCTGTCGTTCAGCCTGCAAAGCTGCCGTCAGAACCTCTCCGCCGCTTCACAGCATAAAGCACTTCAAATGGCATTGCAGTTTTGTTGGCAGCTTCCCACCCAGCTGAGAAAGTCTTCCTTTGAAATCAGATGTCCATTTAGTATCTTTAACAGATTCCCTTTAAACTGTATGAAGTCAAAACTGTTATCCCCACTCTGAACCTGAATGAACCTGACCTCATATAACTACTAGGGCCGGGACTTTAACGCGTTAATTAAGATTAATTAATTACACAAAAATTAACGCATTTTAATCGCACTTATTTTTGCACCGCGGAACATTTCTCACTGGATGAGTTTCAGGGGTACCGATTATACTGGAGCACCAACTAACGCTCATGACTTCAAACAACAACAAACCACAGTGAACAATAGTCAAACACGAACGAACAAGCTGATGAGACCGCTTTGGTTGGCCCCGTGGATGGGACATTTTGTTTTAAAAAACGGACGGATGGAAGCGTCGATAAGAGCACGGTTGTTTGCAAATTATGCAAAAAGGAATTTGCATATCACCGCAGCACATCAAGCCTCAAGTATCACCTCAATGCAAAACATATAGCAGCTAGCGTGGAAGCTAGCGTGGACGTTAGCCCGACTCGGAGTACAAGGACCCACACCCATTTTTAAATCAACTGTTGGTAAATCAACAAAGTCTGTTATGGCCTCTGAAGCAACAGAGAGATGTTTTCTAATAGTCAGGGTTTCCAATGTTCTGAATGTACTTGAAAGTATTGTGTTTTACTTAAAAAACAAAGTGTTATAGTTTACAGAAGGTCTACCTACCTATAGGCTACCTGAATCTCCGAAATGTACTATATTCCTAAATATGCTATTGCTACACTTTATGGCAAAAAT